GACATATCTTCATAAATCCCCTCTAGATGTGTTTTCATGCCAAAACCCCAGCTGGTGTCAGCAAATCTTTCTTCAAAAGTGAGTTTTGAGCAGTTTGCAAAAATTTATATTTTAGTTACGATATTTTGAAATAAATTGCCTACAACAATTGGAGCTTGGGCCTTGTCTACCATCTAAGCATGTGTGTTTTATATATATAAGTATAACAGCCACTTTGACAAAGTGTTATGTTATTTGAAACAAAAAAGTGATTATCTCATAAAACAAACTGGAATTGATAAAATGTAACGGTTCCAGGAGAAATATTCATGCATTCAATGAATGTTGTGGATTTTGCAGTAGCAGTAAAAAAGTTATTGCTATTTATCACAAATCAATAATTTAAAAACACCCGACAATATAATGCAAAATTTTTTTGGCATATCTAAAATTATAAATATATATGTTGAAGCCATGTTTAGATAATAGCAATGATAGGTATCCAATTTATGTGAATAAGGGTATTAGTACCAGCCTGATATCAAGCTAAATAGATTCACATGACAAACGTAAAGCAAAAAATCCATCATAAAACACTCATTATTTGAAGTTAAAATATGTGTGTTCATTTTATGTTTTCATATCGACCTTACAATTTCAGGGTGGTATCGTTCACCACATATCTTTTTCGTCGAAACTTTTAGTTCGTCAATCAAAAATTTTCATTGATATGGCTGTATGGTATAAGTTGATTCTGATTTTTGAGATGAATCATCACCTATTAGTCAATTCATATCCTTGCTTACGGCTACACAGCATAAATCCTCACACTGCAACTTTTTTATGATGCTTTTCTTCCTGAAAATATACATATTAGGTTACATAATATCTTGATCTCAAAATTTTCATTCCTTGACAAATCATTACTTTATTGGCTACCTAGGACATTCACAACATACTCTTACCTTTTTTATGCTGAACAATCGTAGCACAAAGTGATTCTCTACTACATCTCTACGCCACTCACTTGATCTTGTCGTGAGACAACGCCGTCAGAACACATGAGAACGCACGATGATTTTGGAAGCAATAATCTGTCTGCGCCTAGTCGGGCGTGACGGCGAATCCAACATCGGGACCAAATGTCGGAAGTTACACGGGGTTGATTGAACCCCTGCACTCAGCGTCAATTTTTCTGCGTGTTTCCATTTGTCTAATTATAATTAAATTGTAGGCTCGTTAAACGAGTAGCTAGTTGTTCAATATAATTTTTAGGATATAATAAAATTTAGTCTAAACGTGTCTCACGATAAATTCTGTGGACCTCATGAAGTATGCGCACCAAGATGGCGCACAATCTGAACTCAGGTTGTGTACCAGGTTAGGGTTCAGGTTATGCGACATCTTGGAGCGCATATGTCAGGAGTACCACCGTTTGGATGTTTCCCCTGGCATAGACGTCCATGTTTACCTCGTGACATTGGCCAATCAGCAAGATGCAAAAATAAACGTAATAATGCCCTCTTTCGCATCCACTCAGACACATTCCTCTCTCAGACAGACTTTCGGGCGTGGTCGTGAACACTGAACATTATCTCATTTTCGCGATTTAGAATTATATTCGTTAGTTTTTAGTTGTTTTTCGGAAATTTAATTAAAATAAGTCAATGATCACCTTGTCCTCCTAGGAGTTTCAGTTTAATTACAGTGACCAAAAATTAGTGTAGAAATAGCTGTGATAGACTAGGCTAAAATTCTTTACCGCTACTTTCAAAAAACAGATCGTTGAATGGTATAAATTAGAATGATAGTTTGAAACAAATTATAGGCAACAACTCGCGAAACCACTCTTAAAATAAGCACCGAAAATTTTAGAATGGTAAAGTATGGGGAAACTTTTCCGGGGTCAAAGGTCGGGGAAAAGTCCATTCAGTGAAGCTTCCCGGGCCAGATTACTACAGATTTCCCGATCACTGGGATAGGCTAACTACCGTACCTTACTGCGAAGACGAGTCAAGCAAGCTCTTCACGTGTGACATCGCCCACGTGATTCAAACCTACAAAAGCACGTAGAGTACAGTAATCACCCTTCTGTATCGTTTTCGCCCACCGGGGGGCAATATCGCTCACTTTGGGAATCACTGGACTATAGAGGACTTGCACGGGTCACGTGACTTTGTTTACTGGACGGCAAAAAAAACGTCCATTTGGCTCCTGTCAGTTGCAAGTCGGATTATACGTTTCCTGTAACGCACGGATTGGAGTCTCAAACTGCGCTACGTTTATACCCAACCACTGTCAAGTATCACGTCCCGGTTCTCCTACAATTTGCAATGCAAAGTCGAAATATTCAGTCCCCACTCACAGTCTTGAACCACTGAACTTTTGAACCCCAACACCTCAGAAGATCACCCAAACTGAAAGAACTTTGTTGTAATATTCCACTTGGAATTCGACAGAACAGTACGGCAATAGCACTCACAAATGCACACAGAGTCTGTAAACTATACTGAGTTTGTGGCTCAACTTAATATTATTTTGAGTTTGACTAATACACACAGAATTTGATTTTAAATATTGATAGATTCCAGGATTAAATAACTGAATAAAATACAGAACAGTTAGTAAATATCAACACACAATAACTCCCAGCCTATCCTATATACTAACATAATGATTCCCTACTGGATAATAAACTAACAGCAATCTAAAACGATTCATAATACATGCACTCCTCTCAATCCTAAAAATACCGGCAAAGCAGATAACGGCAGATTGCGCCATCACAGCTCGTCTCGCTCACGCAAGCGGAGAACAATACAAGTTACTAACTACAGAGCAAGAGTCGTCGTCGGTCGATTGCCGCAGCCAATAGCGTGCAAGATAAACACATATTGTACCATAGCTAATCTCACTCCCTCAAATACAATAATAAAGAAATACCAAATGCGACCTGCGTTCATTACACCGGCCCCTAAGAACCGTCTACATCCCACGGTTATTACCGACCACCAAAAGGACGCATGTCTCCCTTTCACGAAATGAAAACATGAAAAACAATACACAAAATTACACTCCCTCCAAAACACACAATTTACGAATGTCTCGCATGTAACTAGAATCCGCAGTCCCCACACGTACACTGCGGACATGACCATCTAAATCAGGAAACACTTCCACGATTAACCCCTTTGGCCAGAATCGCCTCTTGGTTTTCTCATCCACATTAAGAACAATATCTCTAACAGCAAAGTTTCTCACAGGTTTGTGCCATTTCTGTCTTAACTGCAATGTTGGCAGAAAACCACCATTCAATGTTTTGCTGCTGCATAACTTTACAAATCTGATTTTGATTCCAATTTCGAATCCCTTCACGAAGTTCTCTCTCAGCACCGATGAAGTTTGTTCCATTGTAACTGTACATTTTTCTTGGTCGTCCACGCCTGTTTATAAATCTCTGAAACACATTAATTAAAGATGAAGTATCCAGCGAATTAGCAATTTCGATATGAACTGCTCGAGTAGCCATACAACTGAACATACACCCATATCTTTGCTCTTCACTCCTGCCTCTCTTCACCAGTATTGGTCCGAAATAATCACTGGCAGTTTCCATAAAAGATTGTTCACTAGGTGTCACTCGAACATTTGGTAGCGGTGCCATCACTTGCTCCCCCACCTTAGAGTTCCATCGGCGACATTTGCTCAATCTTCGACGTACAGTTGCATGTCCTTTGATAATCCAAAATTTTCCAGAATTGCAGATAAAACATGCAAAGTACCACTGTGACCTTCTCTTCCATGATACAAATCAATCACTAAATTGATGACCATCACTCGGCAAAAGTACTGGATATCTACTTTCCAATGGCAGATGTGAACGATCAAGACGACCACCGATTCTCAGAATCCCTTTCACCACAATAGGATTCAATTTCTGTATTGATTTCATCTGCTCATTTCTCGATAATGACTTCCCTGGTGTGCTAATTATCTTTTCTTCCAAAGATGAATGGTTATGCAATGCATCAATTTGTTTTCCAAACTGCTCCCTTTGCACAAATCCTACTATGCAATCAATCGCACAATTCAATTCACGAATCTCAAGATGTCCTTTTTGCAGCTGACTAATATCACCATCACCTCGAGCCACCTTCCATCTGAGATAAGATCGATTTCTCAACAGCCAAGCTGTCGATCTCTGAAGTTTCTCCAATTTAGAATATCTCGAAAGCAAACGCTTGATTGAATTTTCCTTCAAGTAATCTTTAACACAATATACAATCAAATCCTGCTTCAATTCAGGGTCGCTATTTGATATGCCACGAATAGGTTTTGATTTTGGCCACAGGCACTCTTCCTTCATCAATAAAGCAGGACCTTTAAATCAAATATGTGCCTTGTCCAGCTGATACGGTTTCAAACCTCGAGATGCAATATCAGCCGGGTTACATTTTGTGTCAAAATGTCTCCACTGCGAAGGCTCTGATCCCTCATGAATAACAACAAGACGATTCGCCACAAAGGTATGAAAGCGTCTTGTCGTATTGGTGATATACTGCAACACTGACATTGAATCGGTCCAATAAATTACTCTATCAATTTTATACTCCAGCTGAGTCTTCACAAACTGACCCAACTTCACTGCGACCACTGCCGCAGTCAACTCTAGCCTTGGTATAGTCACTGGTTTTGAAGGTGTCACTTTTGACTTTCCCATAACAAAACTACAATGCACCGATTCATCAGACTTATTCAGCATTAGCAAATAGCATGCACATCCATATCCGATTTCACTTGCATCACAAAAAAAATGCATTTGAATCTCACCAGGGTAATTCGTATCCGAAGATTTCAAACAACGAGGAATAGAAACATTTTCCAGATGAGGTAAGTCTTGCAACCAGTCTACCCAGCAAGCCTTTTCAGCATCAGGAATTTCATCGTCCCACCCCAAATCTTTCTGACATAACTTCTGTAAAAAAAAGTTTTTTCTTTTCTGTTTTTCTTTGTATAATTGATGAAAACGAATTCAACACTTCCGAAATGTTCTATATCAAATTTCAATTTGCGAGTATGAGATAAAGTTATAGTGTTAGAATCGAAACTGCAATTTTAATATTTAAACTGTTGCCGTTGACCAATATGAGATTTTGACATTTTTCTCGTATGTTTCAAGTGTCGATGCATGTAGTGTCCATTGTAATTAAATCTGTTTTCTCATATCAATATTATGTATTGCTTATTTACTGTATGAATATGTATTGATTTTATATATACTGTGATAAAACTTGTAACGGGTTGTCAAGCTCAAATAAGTTTGTGTTATCTGATTTTTCAAAACAAATCTGTTAACTGAAAATATGTCTATTTAAGTTTGGAAAAATTTCTTGTCAATGTCATATTATGGGATTTCTGGCAATGGAGGAAACATTCGTATTATCGCATTTTTAGTCTACATACTATGAAAATAACAAACAAACAAGCAAGAAACGTTCACTATCATTGTATATATTTGCTTTAAACCATAAAAACAAACAATCTAAAGCCAGCATAATGTTAATATTTAAAATAGATTTATTCCGCCCTGTAATATTGTAAGAATGAAATTTTATCGGCAACGCATTTCAAAAATTTGTCCTAAATATGGTTCATGTTTGCAATTATAAATGACAATAAAAATTATATGTCATATAGAATATTCCGCTGATTTATTAGCTCTATGACGTAGCACGATGAATGAAGATTAAACATGAAGAAAATCGAGGTTTACCTGAAATTAAAAATATTTATGTTACTGGTGACAAATAATTGTGATAAGCAAAGTTTTATAGTTTCATTCTGAATATACTAATGCTATTTTTATTGTATTAACTAAATATGTAAACACTAGTATAAACAAAAAAATCGTAGATACGTACTATCCGTGAATAGAGTCGGAGCTGAGCCAATTATCTGCATCAGATACTAAAAAAATGAAGACATGTGTCAAAGTTTATTCGTCGGACAATATAATACATGGTACTTACAGCCTTGTGGGGGGTGTCTTGCAAGTTTCGTGTCAACTTGCATAAAGAAGATAAATGTAAAAAGCATCAGTGCAATCACAGCATAAAAGTAACGTGTACTAACCATTGTTGAACAAACTATTGATTTTAAGTAGAGTTTCTCTTAAATTTTAATTTATAACAAAAACATCAGTTTATTAAACAAATAGTATACCTGCAAGTTTCCACAAATGTCTGTGTATCTATCTATAATATTTTCGTTGCAATAAATGATGTTATTTGCATGTTCTCAAGTAATAGGCGAAGTTAATTTTACAAAATTATACAATTATTTTTTGCCCAAATGGCTGGATAGCAGGGAATCTGAAACATTAGTAAAGTCCTAAAATCAGTCAGAGTCGCCATGGAGGCATTGTATACCATATGTGATTTTCGATCCAAACAAAGCCCTGTACAAGGATCCACTAATATATAAGGATGTGTAAGGAATCTACTATTTATCCACAAGAACCGGAATTTTTCCAGGTCGGCATTGCTTACCCAATTTATTCTACTTTGGGTGGGGTGGAGGAGGTGGGATTTGAGCCCGAAATTTTTAATCTGCGATGTCATCACTTGTGCCATTATACGTGTCGATTTTTAGCAAAAACCTCTTCATTAGGATATAGCTGACCTTTGAGATCTTAAACAACATAGGCCACGGCTTTTCAACAACAATTTTGAAACCGTGCTATTTGTAGAGATTAATTGTTTCAACTCTTACGTCGCTGGTATCAAAACATATTTTTTTGAATCCCATATTTGAATGCAACACAATTTATTCCGCGGTTAAGTCTCGCGCTTTCAGTGCTAGGTCATCGCGACGCTCTTTATCAAAGTATTTTGAGCTAGGTCGCCAAATTTATACAGCGACATTACAATATAATTTGCTAATCAAAAAGCAGTGATAATTTTTTTTATCTATTTTTGAGATTACAACTTCTTAGAAAAAATAAGCGCATTCTTCCTATTTGACCTTTAAACCTGACCACCACTCTCGGCAACCTTATTATCGATAGCATCAAGGTTCAGGTTGAAAAAAATCAAATTTGACTTGACTTCAAGACTTTCGAATATATCACCTCAATTCTCATTCAGCTTTCGAACTTATATCTCAGTGGATTCTTCACGCTCGCATATATAACGTTTGAGAAACACAAGATATGCAGGAGAGCCATCAAATATATTTCCGGCCGTTGGCATTTATCGACTGCAATGAAACTTAAAGACTTAAACCGGAAAAAGTCCGCTCTGGGAACGGTTGAAAGGTGATGAATGACAATAAATACAAGCAGCACTTCTGAGAGTAGCTGAACAGATTTCCTATTAGTTAAAGCATTTATCTTTGCAATCTTGGCGTGGAAGGTAAGACATCTCGTTTTCAAAACCCATTTCCTCCAGATCACCTATGTAGTAATAATATGGGTGGATAATGCCTAACTGTGACGTTCCCGGCTATGACATCACGACACTGTAAATAAAATGATAAGCAAGCAATTGTTTGAACGTAATAAATATCAAACTTTTCTTTTACTTACTTTTATCGAGAATCGTCAGAACGCAAATGTCTCTATTAACAACTTGAATAAGATAAAACAGTTCTAAATTTTCCTGAAAGTGATCAATGTTTGTTCGGATAATAAGCACTGTATGAATTAAACAACATTCATCAGTAATCTGTGTTACCAGTAAAGTGAATATGAAGAGCTGAAAAGTTATAACTTGTAAATTTTTTTAAATGTAAGCAGGATGGCTATTGTTTAAACAAAAAACATCCAAATTTATTGAAAACATCCGAATATCATTATAGCATTTCACAAAGTTTAAAATTCATTAAGTACAGCTTCTGGAATGTTTTTTTCGTATTGGCTTGCATGATGAGGGAAATATAACGGACAGAAATCTAGTCATAGGCAGAAAGAGATTTTGTATTTGCCATTGTTAGTTTTTATATTTTGGGTAAATTGAAGTCTACTGGAAAATATAAATGTAACCTGAAGAAAAAACGATAGTATTGAATCTGTCTCCGATAACGTGTTGTATAAGCTGCTCGAGTTGCTGTTACTTAAAGTAAAATATTTACAAATTTATCCTGAACCCACTGTCTCACCACTTTAAGATTTATTTTTTCAAATCCATCGCCAAGTCCCTGCCTTTGGGCTTTCAAACTCAAACCTAATAAAACTCTCTACTTCAACCCTATCCACTTCTCGGGGCTTCCGGGAACTCAAAAGCGTCAACAGCGTTATCAATTATATTTGTGATTAGTATTTTCGACTGAATTAAACCCGAAAACCAACGCGCTACGGAAACGGCTTAATGGCGATGAATTGCACAAATCAGCGTGATCCAAGGACATACTTTCATTTCGAAAGGATAAAGAATGCGATTAGAAAAATTTGAAACTATAACTGGAAATACTGTTGAATTTCATATCCTTTATCAGCTTTATATGATTGACTACTTCAAAATGCGAGGGAATTTTACCCTATTAATTGAGTTATCTGAATCTCAAAGCTATATATAATGCTGGAATATAATATTATTTCTATCATTCATAAGACGCCTAGATTTTCGGAACCTGCAGCCTGCATTTCTACAAATACCAGAAACTTTAAATGAACATAGTATTTGTTATCCAGAATAAAATGTAATAGGATTAAAGTAATTGTCTTTACTAGACGAAAATTTGTGAAACGTTTCAAAAGTTTTTTCAAGACCAATGCTAACCCTTGTATTGGTTAAACACGCGAAGTTTAAGTAACCTAAAAATTTAAACTAAGAATATTTTCACCACTTCAGTTGAGTCCTATGCACCTTAGCCAAAACTTTTCAATAAATTTCTTGTATTGATCTCCATGCAAGCTAATAAGATACATAAAAATATCTAGATGAAATTCTCACAAATATTCGAAGAAACCTGCAGTCAATATACTTATAACAAGATCCCTTTTTTCCTAAAAAAAATATTTTGTTTAGAAAAAAGCCAACTTTTACAGTCAATAACCAAATATCAAGAATGGGAAATACAAATTTCTTTCTTCTGACGATTGGAATTATGTTCAGCATGTTTCAGTTCTTTACGCAAGTCATTGCGAGTGATCGCCATGGACCACCAGGCTGTACGTAATGCAAATTAAATTACGTGATATTCATTTTTTTGTTTCCTAAATATATCTGAAAGGTAATATTGCTATGTGTGTCAACTACTTGCTTGAATCACATTATTGAGTAAAATCTTGTAGAAACAGTATCCAATTCACAAGTTAAAGTTTTTTTCTTGCACTTTTTATATTTATTTATTTTTCTTACAAATGCTCTAATTATGAAGCGAACTTTGAGCCTTTTCAAAAAAATTTCTTTTGTTTTAGTTGATGATGGAGAAATTTCACTCAGCTCTGACGATTTTGGTGAAAAGTTGTAACCAAAAAATGCTGTTGGCTATCTTCTTCGTTAGTTGATGTTGACTAGTTAACTACTTCGATATATATTGGGCTCTTACTATCTAGACTCCGATATAAAACAATTATATTAATCAGGAGTTATACGTACTCAAATTGGGAGCTCTTGTTAATTTTATATAACAGATCAACTCAATATCCATTCTTCAGTATAATTTTATTGCTCCGGTTAAACAAATTACGATCGTCAATAACAAAAAATTATAAAACACGACTTAAATCATAAAATATAAATTGTACCTTATATAGCATTGTCCATAAGATAACAGCAGAATTAATTAGAACAGCTAAACTTTCTCCCAACACTCTATTTTCTTTGTCCCGATCAGTCTATTTAAATGGAATTAGGGGTTTCTCAATTTAGTCGATACGTTGTCTATCTTTATTTATTACTTTTTCGGGAAGAAGGTTTTTCCTCGACCAATCAAATTCTAGTTTGTCTCGTTTTTGATAGGAGGAATTTAGGATGTGCACGATAATTTCTTATTTCATCGGCACTATTATTTAGGTCGAATATCTTGTAAAGTTTTTGAAATGACCTAGTTTAAGTTTAAAAATGGGGATGATTTCATCGTCCCGTGAGTATGAATCTTTTTATGCTCGAGAAAATTCACAGGTGCTAAGTCGAAAGTCAAGTTTTTAAGATTAATTGGGGGAATATTCGATGATTTAAAGTGACAAATTGCAAATTTGTTACAGATTACCACAACCACCGGGTAGAATTGTGGGGGGCGCTATTAAATCAGCGAATGATATTAGCTATCGTTTGTTTATGTAATATCTTAAAAGGGAAGAATTAGGTTAATTAAGGCAATGCTAATAATATTTAATAGACACTAATACAGAATAAAGACGTATAAAAACTTTTTGACATTTATCAAGTTTTGTTATTATAAAAGTACACTTTTGTTCTTGTTCGGATCTACCTGCCCATAATTTTACCACCCCGGGTGAGTAGGTGATGAATTTGGAAAGTAAAATGTACTAATTGTGATGTCAACGGGTCACGTCAACGTTTCAACATCTGGGTTTGCTCAGTTGTAATTAGAACTAAGAATCAAATTAAACGATCGAATTGATCAAAGAATTTTGATCAAAGAAGAAATTTTACTCATCACTATCATTTTTCACTCTTAATATTACCTTTTTGGTAAATTTAGATAAAACTTCAATTTTCGTCACTGTCTTCGTGAATTATATTGTATCATCTAAGTAGTAATATGTTATATACAATCTAATTGTTGTTATCAAATGTAATTGAGTAAAGAATTCAAATTTTCATAATACATAGCAATAAATGTGTGATGAAGAGAAACATCTGTTGCTTTTCTAGTTATAATCCAATGGTGTTTGAAAAGATGAGATACCAAAAGAGGCTGACCAGTTTTTTTTCATTCCAATGACTATATTGGAAACATTCAATTCATAAAATAAAAAATTAGGCAAACAAATTCATTTTAGAGTTGAAGATCATCGCGAATATGTAAACAATTCTACAGTATTTAGCAAATCAAATATTCATTTCCTTCGTCATATTCTATACAAGCAATAAACCCAAGGAGAGAAATGGGGGAAATACATCTGCATCAGCAAGAAATTGGATTGTATGTTTTTGGATTGGATTGGATATCCTTTTGAATGTCAAATAATTTTAAATAAAATTCGTAAGTTCGTGAATTGGAATTGCTTTTGACTCTGATAGACCAAAGTAAAACATAAAAAGTTCAGGCAAAGTGAAATCGCGACGATTTCATTCAGGTTTAATTATGTTTCGTTTGAAGAGAAAAACTTGTTGATACAATATGCCTTGCCAAACATGAACTGCAATAAATTGCGTATAATTGACATCTTTTTTTCCGTAGTGAAATTATATTCATAATACATTGTCTATAGAAGCAATATAAAACTTAGCCGCTGAGAAATACCAGTATATTGTATGTTTTCAATGGCACTGACTATACATTATATCAAGATATTAAAACAATTCAGAACAGATAAAAAAGATTTCTATGCAGATTTGAGATTGGTCTTTTTCTCTAAACTTTACAAAACTTGTATAAGCAAATCTTCTCGTTGTGTCGATGACTCGTAAAACTAGAAATAGACATGGAAGTGATTGCGTATAAAGATCTGACAGACACTAGTTGAGATAAAAAATTGAATCGTTTTAAAGCAGGGGTTCCCAAACCAGGGGTCGCGACCCCAAATTGGGTCGGAGTGATAAGTAGGTAGGGCCGCAAACAGGTCATGGGGTAGGTGAGGTCGCTGAGTTATGGTCGAGGATGGATGTACAAAACATCTAAGATTTGACAAACCATGTTAAATTTAGCAGTTTGCACCATGGCTTACTGTAAAACAGGCCCATAGGCATCGCTCTATGCTTGTGCTAAAAAAATGTAGGTAATTATTGTGACATTACCGTTTGGATTAAGCTTATTTAATTTGATACCACCGCATGACCAATCTCAAAAGCCCAGGTGAAGAAGCTCTGAAGTTCCATGAAAATATATATATATTGACCTGGGGTCGCACTGGACATTTGAAAGTTGTCTTTGGGGTCGTCCTGAAAATAGCTTGGGAACCCCTGTTCAAAAAGGTCATACAAATACAAGATATTTGTTAATTAATTTTGACATAATGTCAATTCACGTCACAATGTACTTCTTCAAAAGCGAAAAAGAGCTGTGCAATTAACTACGCGTTACGGAGTTGGCCCTCCGTAACGCGCTGGCCATTCCTAATTTTTCGGTCTCATCGCAGTCGATAAATGACGATGGCTGGAAATTATTTTATCATTACAAGCGCCGACCCTTTGATTAGACAAAACCGCAACGTAGAAACCAAATTGATTTTAACATGTGTAAAATATATTTTCTTTTTGCAGCGCGAATCAAGCTAGCTATATTTGACAGTCGTGATGTGACGGAATGTCTCGACTGAAATGCTGTAAAATTTGTGTGTATAATGTTTGCATAATTTGTAATACATTGTTGTATTGTATGTAATGCATTGCTTCCAATGTCTTTTCTCATCTTTAACGGGAAATATCCTATTCATCCATTAAAACGGCAGTTGCCTTCAAATTCGTACAATCACAAATTTTTTCTCTATTTTGAATAAGCTGTTTTCAACGAATAATCTTAAAAAAATTGTGTTGTTATCAGTCTAGCAATCGAGTTTGATTGGAAAACGAGAAGAACAAATTTTAATTTCCTCTGTTATTGCGGTAACGTTAGTTTTTTTATGCATATAAATAAATGCGTACTTTCACAAAGTGAATGTGACTAGTTTAAATTTGATTTATTGCAATACTCTTATATAGTCAAAGAAAAGAAAATTTGTCAACTTTTGGAAGAAGTGTCGAAATTACGAATTCTAAGAACACATTTTCTTTGTATTTATTACACGTTCTGTTTTTGCTTGGTTTTATAGCATTTGCGAATCTGCTGTGCATTAAAACCGTTTCATACATTTTGTTTGATATTTTGATATTCCCAAGTTTTGTACACATTCCAAGCTAACAGTTGAACAGGTTAAACGAAAAAATACTGAGCAGTAATTCAGGTTGTATTTTCATATTTTTCATTTGCATTCAATAATATTTTCGTTAATATTTTCTGAGCGAATGGGTGCATTAGCGCAATTTCAGACGCTGTGTGTAAACCATGAGGTCTGGAATGTTTGTTATGGTCTTGTTTGGAAGAATAGCTCATTTCCTACCCAGCAATATAAGAATGAACGTTATATGACATTTGGAAGTAATAAAATATCGCTTACATTTCACGAGTGTACTTCCCGCTGCGATAGAAAAACGTCGCACAGCAAGAAAATAATTCAATAAACCTTGGCGTTGCGCGCTAACCAATAACAAAAGCTAGTATGATAAGGTCTTATTTTGAAGGTCCTTTTATATGCTACATAACATAGGAGAGTGGACATCTCACAACGTCAGGAAGTTATAAAAATATCGAGTCGTTTGATCGCAGCTGCCTCACCGAAAAAAAGTTAGTTCACATAGGCGTTTTATCTCGCAAATTCTCCTTGTCTCACGATTATAAGCTTTTATGATTCATAATAAATGTTTTATTATGACTCACAAAAGCTTTCAACGCGATAAAGCACAAACAAACAACCGATCGATCTATCAAGCTTAGCCTGGCCTGATTCGATGTGGTGACTTCTCAAACGGAAAATTTCCAAAACGCTTCAACGACACGAGCTAACGAAAAGCGTTTAGTATCATATGAAAGAGAAAACCAATGTGCAGTCAACTGTATAGTCACATTTGCGCTTTTCAATAGCTATACACGTCCAACAGATGATAGAATGAGAGAGTGTAAATATTTTTGTTATTTTTTGACGTTACGAGAGACCTCTTGAAAGAGGTGTTTTAGTTTACGGTCCTCCAGTGACATCTAGCGTATAGTACTCTAAAAGACCTTTCCAATGGTATATAATTATTGTATATTGGGTAAATTTTGGGGGTCGTATGACATTAATAAAAATGTACTCAAAATTGTGCTCGATTGGGCGTCTGAATCAGGTTTTAAAGCAGTCTTGTTGATCACGTTTTTATCTGACATTCAGATTTGTTTTGTTTTTTACCCACCTGTCAAATTCAAATCATCCTTCAGGCAAAATTACGTGTGGGAAGTACACGAATATAGAAAACTCAAAATTAAATTATTTATGGCTTATGCGTGATATAGCATAACATATTTAAATTAGGTATCTTGCCCAATCGCACTAAATTCATAGATGGTTTGATGTTGAATTTTTCTACATTCATGTACTTTTCATATTTAACTTCGCCTGCAATTTGATTTGACATTGACAGATGGAAGAAACAAAACAAAAACAAAATTTCATACGAAAGCGTGATCAAGGAACATGTTTTTATTTTGAAAGGATTTAGAATGCGATAAGAAAAATTTGGAAATATAACTGGAAATACTGTTTAATTTCCTACCGTTCAACGGCTTCATATGATTTACTACTTAAAAATGCGAGGGGATTTTACCACATTAAATAATTTATCTGAATTTTCAAACTATATTTAATGCTGGAATATAGGATTATTTCTATCATTCAGAGGAAGCCTAGAATTTTGGAACCTGTCGCCCGCATTTCTACGAATACATTTACTTTGGGTGAGATATCAACATAGTATTTGTTATCCAGAATAAAATATAATAGGATTAAAGACGAAAATTTTTAAAATGTTTCAAATGTTTTTTTAAGGCCAATGCTAGAACCTTTTATTGCAGAATACCTAAATAGACTGAGCATGTTGTAACCAGAATTTTAAAAGCAGAAAGTTTGCTCTTATCTATACTGATAAATCTGATGTATATAACAATGGTTTCCAAAATTTTCAACTTGAAAATACTGCGTAATTGAATAATGAATAAAATGAATTGGAGAGTGAAACTTCAAAATATTGAATGGATGGAGCCGTTATATATTACTGAGACGGATTTATTACAATTAGGGGTGACAAACTGTCAGTACCAATGATTTTTTCATTCTGTACTTTTTCTTGAAATAACTTTTTTTTCAGAAAAAGTCAATTTTTACAATTGATAAAAGTTCAACAATGAAAAACACAACTTTCTTTTTCCATATAATTGGACTTCTGTTCATTATGTGTATATTCTTTATGCAAGTCCATGCGATTGATCTTCCTGGTGCACCAGGCGGTACGTATTGAACTTGTGAATTTTTTTTTTTAATATATTTGAAAATATTTTATATTTCATAATTTACATAATTGTGTTCATTTTATTACCAACTTCAACAATATCAACTCCAGAATTTATAGCATTGCACATTTTGTATTTTGTTCAAATATTATATATAACATATACATATACGCTTATGATGTGGAACGAACGTTGATCCAGAAAAATTTCAAAACATTTTTTATTTTAGACAATCAACGACCAAGCTCCGAGAATTTTGGTGAAGAGCATGTAAATTGAAGTTTGATGAAAAATAAAAAATTACTTTTAAGAAAAACGATTATCTTGAATCTGTCTCCGATACCTTGTTGTATAAGATGGTCAGGCTGCTGTTACTGAAAGTTAAGATATTCACTCCCATTAAGCGTTTATACTTGAACCTCGTCGAATAACTCTCTACTCCAGGGTTGGGTAAATAACGACCCGCGTGCCTGATCCGACCACCGAAATGTTTCATTTCGTCCCATTTGCGCCGCTGAAATTACGACTATGGTTTTCAAGGATAAATTTCCGTTCAAAATATCAATGGATTAACAAGTCGTTGACAAAATCAAATCCCCTTTTCCCCACGTATTATCCACACCTGAATATAATATACAAAACGAGACACATATACTTCAAACTCACCCATCCGAGTTTATTTACGTAATTCTAAAACTATATCTCTGAGAGTCATTGCCAAGAATAGCGCCTGAGACTATAGCGTTTAGGCCTCAAAATTTCGTTTTGCAGAGAGCTACCTATAGAGCCCTTTTCGTGCGGCTGTTAATGCTGCGGCACGATGTTTGTGTCCCATCTGTTTGGTACATCAACTTCAGCACTTAGATACAATAGATTTGTAACAATGCCTGTAAAGCTTCTTTTGCTTTGTTTGGGTATTCATTTGAGAGTGCCGAAAAGACTGCGTTCTGGTTATCACAAGGTAGGCTATGGGCTTAGCACAGTCGTAAATCTAAATAGCTGACTAAGTACGACCGGTTAGATGCGAACTAGCAGTCACGTTGTTAGCCAGAATTATTTCGTTTGAGCGATGTCAACTGGACTGATGTGAGACTTTATCACGCAAGGGCGATGCGGCAATTGACAAAACAATATTGCCGCACATGGACGTGGAAATTGTTTGTGAGGACAGATATACTGCTCAGATACGTTGTGTTTGTCTGGATTGCTGTTGGTTTATGCTTGTCCGATTTTGTGTGACCCTTTTGCGTAATCTTTGTAGTAATCTTTCCGCGGATCGGCGATGGGCCGCGCCCGGTGAATTTCGACCACTGCCCCAATGCATTCTCCCTCAAATAAACACAGCGCCATCTAGTCACTGGGCAAGTTTATGTTCGATATTAACATATATCTGGCAGCTGGATCATCTTCTAAACGTTTTGATGTTAGCCAAACAAGTAGGTTTTCCTATTTGTTGAAGTGGAAGTGTCTGATTGTCATACAACATAATTTTTTCTAGTGAAAATAGAACAGAGTACTTTTCTTTTAAATTGTTTAACTGTCAGCTTTGGATGTAGGCTATAAGAAGCTTGAAAATATCAAATGTGTGAACTCGTTTCAATTTATGATCAATTTATAAGATGTTACTTGATATATTTGCAAGGGAGATCTGTCTCCAAAATATCTTTCTTTTGATGACTCTAAAATAAAGATGCTTCACTTGATGTTTTCTAAATTCAATGTTTGCGATCCATTCATTCAATTAAAAACTCTCTAGCCAGTCCCTCGTGAAAGGCCTAATTTAAAAATATATAATTAGTTTGATATGGAGATTGTAACTGAAGCTTATTTGTCTTGATGTTTGTCAATCCGTATTACGACAATGCGGCCTGAGTATGTTTATTTATATACGTATAAGTATATTTATTGTCGTGTACTCCAACAGAATGCATATTTTGTAACTAATTAAAATGCTTGTCCAAGTGTCAGGTAGGCTACGTCATGAACTGAATTTCAGTTTCTTTCGAAAAAGTTCAAACCATGGCTCGCTCGTACGTTTGAGTATAAATTGATGTTTTTATTACAAAGCTTTTTACTGCTAAAAATCTAAAATACAATGATCCATAGTTAAACACGTCCAACAAATCTTGCGCTCAATACTCAAATGCCAACGACCTCTATACTTTTACTTCTATAATAAGACTTTGAAAACACAAGATCTGCAGTGGAATTAACAATATTATTCCCGGTCGTCTGCATTTATTGGCTGCAAAGTTACTTGAACCGAAAAAAATTAACTTGTTTTGGAAACGGTTAAAATGTAGTGAATTGCACAACTCGGGAGTTAGGAGGTTTTTGTGTCCCGAAAGTCGGATAAATACCAGATGTAGACAATCAAATGATACGCCAATTGAGGACTTTCGACAAGTAAATCCATAATAATCCGTTGTTGTAGATCTAGCGGACACTTCAAAAAGAAAACATTCAAATTCAGTAAACACTATCTAGTTGAAGGCACCCACGGACAGTAGAATGGATGTCATTAGATCACCATTTGAAACGTCTCAATTTTTTACTTCTATTTTTGTTTGTCAGGTCTTTTTCTAGAATCATCTTCACGACTATTTCTAGTAGCACCAGTTTGTAACACAATTCGGAGCTGTTTATGAAAATTACTTGAATAGTTGCATATTATATTGATTTGGCTGTATATGTACGTGACATTGGCTATGTATGTACAGCACTCAACTGGCTGGATATACATATGGCATTGGCTTTATATGTATATAATCTAGTTGCAAATGCATATTTTAGACTGTATTTGTATAATATGTTTCCAACCCGACTAATACAATCAGACCGAATTAAGAATTCTGTGAAACTTGAATTGGCAGTAAGCTGATTTAATGTTTCTTAAAAAATGATTTATTCCAGATGCTGTGAATTTTTCTGTATAGTGTAGGCGGCGTAGCTATTTTGTATACACATTTAAAAAAAGCGGTGCAGTCATGTCCTCAGAGTTTTTTGTCATCTATGAGGCAATATAGTAACTGAGCCAAATCTGAAATAGAGCTTTGTCGTGTTCAATGAGTTATCTCGCCCTGGAAAACCCCAGTTCAATGCAACTCGGTTACTTACTTTGTATGTATTGCACGTTCAGTTTTTGTTCGTTTCTGTTATTGCATATGATCCAGGGATTAGAAGAGCCTTCATTTTAAATCATGGAAATCTTTCTTTTGTTTGTTTATCATAAAACGTTTCTACATGCTAATTCATTATTCAATGTGATGAACAATATACAAACACTAACTTGGTACTAGAGGGTTATTTAAATACATAATGCTGGTAAAGTAAAAGAGACTTTGAGCAAAAATTCGGTTGTATTTTCATATTTTTTCTTTTTATTCAATATTATTTAGATTTTAAAAACAGTCTTGTTGATCACGTTTTTATATCTGACATTCAGATTTGTTCTGTTTATTTCACTTGTCAGTTCAAATCAACTTTGTCGTATCTTATCCAATCGCAAAAAATTCATATATGTTTTCATGTTGAGTTTTTCTACATTCATATTTAACTTCGCCTACAATTTGATTTAACATTGACGATTGAAAGACATAAAACAAAAACAAAGTTTCATATAAGAAAGCGTGATCAAAAATCATGTTTTCATTTCGAAATAATTTAGAATGCAATAAGAAAAATATAACTGGAAATACTTTTGAAATTCATATCCTTTATCGGCTATATATGATAGACTTACCTAGAAATGCTAGGAATTTTTTTTCACATAAAATATCTTCATCTGACTGTAGAAAACAATATATAATACTGAAATAAGGGGTGAAATTTATCATTCAGTAGAAGCCTGGAACCTGTCGCACGCATCTCTCAAAATACCGGGAATTTTGGGTGAGCAGGTAGCATAGCAATTGATATCTGGAATAAACTATAATAGGATTAACGTAACTGTCATTACAAAGGTTTAGTAACCTAAAATTGTTACAAGTGGCCTGATGTACCTATTATTGCCTTTAGTTGGTAGTCAGCTTGAAAGTAATGCGTAATTGAGTATTGGTATGAAGGAATTTTAGAGTAAAAATTAGATAGATTGAATGCTATTTATATTAATTGATCCTCGGGATTATGGCTCAAAATTCTCAAATTTATTTCAATTAGCTACAAACTGTTTAATTTTTTTTTTATAAAAATTAGGTCATGTCACCAGTGTGTAAACAAAAACATTTTTAAGATATGCTTCCATGTGTCATATATTACCACTTTTGTTGTTTATTAATTATTGTTAATTAATTATTATTCAGCACCTGAACCTCATTCCTATTTTGCCAAAATTTTCAAATAAGTGTTTTTGTAAGGATCCCCATTTCCAATAAGAAATAATTGGAGAAACCACCGGTCACGATATTTATAGCAAGATATATTTTTTCTTAAAAAAGACAATTTTTACAGTCAATAACAAAATATGGTGAATACTGATTTCTTTCTTTTCGTGATTGGACTTGTGTTCGTTATGTTTCTATTCTTCATGCAAACCAATGCGAGTCATCAGCCTGGACTACCAGGCAGTGCGTAATGAATTTTATTAAACATTGTGAAATCCTCACGTTTTACATCAAATGTTTTTGGAAGATTGAAATGTACATAATACACATAAATAATCAACTTTTAGAAGCAGCATCTAATGCACAAGTTAAATCTTAGTTTCTTGCACTTTTTATATTTCTGTACTTATACGTTGTATATTTACTCTTATTATATTAGGTAAAAATATCTTATCAATATTTTTTCGACTCTATATTTTTATATTTTAGGAGATGGTTCCTTCAGTTTTGACGATTCTGACGATAAATAAGTATATAATAAGTTTATGTTATTTATGACGTTCAAATATTTTAATGGTACTATTGATTACAAGGTTACAATTACAAGGTTTTATTATTTTAATTTCACCTTCTTTACTGTCTTGTTCGGTCCTGACTAACGCTAACAACGTGTATGATGATTCGCAGCTAACCGGTCGAATTTATGGTCGTAAGTGAGAGCAACGAAATGTGTCCAGTCTGCGTTGTTTGTCATACTAAACTCTCAAATGATGCTTTCAAAACTTCTTCGAACGGTTAGATTGTCTTACAACAACGAGATGTCTTATACGGAGCATTATCAAATGATAATGAGATGAAAAGCGTCTTTGCGATTTATACTTTGGCAGGCTTTTGGACAATACTTTCAAATGAATACCCAGACATAGAAAAAGAAACTTTAAAGGCATTGTTATTTTTAGGTGGGGTCGGGTTTTCAAAATCGACAACTACAAAA